TGCCTGTTCGCTCTCGAGCAACCACGCCGGCAGGCATAACACATATTTATTATTGCATATTTGCGGGGACTCATGGCAGCTGACAGGTAAAAATAAGAGCTAAAAACATAGGAAATACGCAATTGTTTTCTTATAATTAAGCTTTGTCAGAATTTATCTATATTTAAAAAAATCTATTAAAACTGTACAAATAATAACAGTAAAACCAGGCCTTTCATTAAAAGCAGTCTGTTCCCAAGAGCCCTTGTCGGCAGAAGGACAACAAGGAGAGAAACAGTCAAAACAGGGAGGGAGTTCCAAAGTTGCCTGGGGGCAGCCACCAAGAAGACCCTTTCTCAAAATCTCAGAACCAGGGCAGGTTCACATGCGGGAGTATGGTATTTCAGAGAGCTTGGACCTAAGCCATGCAGGGCTTCATAGGTCATAACCGGCACTTTGAATTGTGCCTAGACACAGACTGGTAGCCAATGGAGCTCTTGCAACAAGGGAGTTGTCCACTTCCTATAACCATTGCCAGGCAGCAATCTGGCTTCAGCTGTTTGAGCCGGTTGAAGTTTCCGAACACTTTACAAAGGCATGTTGCAGTAATCCAAACGGGGTGTAACTTAGGCGTGTGCCATTGTGGTAGGGCTGGTCCTGCAGTACTCAGGTGTAGGCCTGGAGAGTGTGGGAAAGGATGAGGAGGAAGCCTGAAGGCCGGGTGCTGCTGCTGTGTTGTCTGAGCAGCTGGAAGGCCAGGATCCTCGCGTCGAAGCCAGACTTGGCAAATCCAGAGGCTTCATACTGCTCACCAATCGGAGACGCCGGTGTTGTCCATACTGGTGCAAGGGAAAAATAGATATAAACAGAGAATTCCTGGGTGCCAAGATCCAAGTGTGGGGCAAGTACTCTTTGGTGGGAGAAACACGTGGAGATTTAAAGTCGCAAAATATGCAGCAAACAGTGGAAATATAGGCTGTTAGATCTTTAAAATATGCCCTTCAAAGTGAGTTCCAGAGATTCCCTCTTCTCCCGGCATAGGAAAAAGACTACAAGTTTGGTAAGTTAAAATTTTTGTTTGATTATAAACTCTCTAAAGCTCAGGTTCATGTGCTTCAGAAAGTTCACAGGCCATAAAACCTGGCTTAGTATAAAAGGAGAATAAGTTAATTTAGAATATGCAGAAAATGATAAAATAAATGCAAGGAACCGCAGAAAGAGGCGGAAGGGAGGTTTGAAATGTTACAACTATTGTTAAACTATTGAAATGTATATAAACGAAAACTATAAATAAAATTATATTAAAAATTAAAGTTGGCTTAGTTGCAAAGTGGTGAAAGTTCCTGAATTATTGGATTAGGAACTCAAGAGAGGCTTGTGAGAGCCATGTGGTCTGAGCTGCAGCAACCAACTCAAACCTCTTTACACAATGAGCTTCTCATGTTGACTGAATACAATAATAGGTAGGGGGAAGTGACCCAGCTAAGCCTGGCAGGACAGGACAGAGCTTACTCTATGGTTTTAACCCCTTCATACATGAATTAAGCATGGTGGTTATATGAGGCTGGTTGTCCCATCGTCCACCCATATTCTCTTCTGCACTTGATGAAAGCTGTGATGCCAGAGCTTCCATAGTTCTAAGAAGTTCGCTGCAGCCTATGAACATCTACTCTGAACTTTGCTTTCTTTTAGGTGCCAGGCAAAAAACTTTTTCTTTTCACCTAGACCTTATAAAATTATTTCAGAAAGCATGAATATTTTGACATCTCTCGTTGCTAATTGTGCTTGGATCTGCTGTATGTTTTGTTTATATTGTTTATCATTACTGAACTTGTTTTTAATGTTTATGAACCAACTGGAAATTATTGACAGAAGGTTGCATATAAATATCAGTCAGTCAACCATAGGTCACACCAAAACATAGAAACTTTTCAAATAAATAAATGACACAGGGTCAATGGCACAAAGTGAGAGGGTTTAGCTCACATCCCCATGTGTCATGACCCTGATCTAATTTGGGCTCCTCCACTTTGATCTTTTGAAAACAAAACTCAGAAGATCCAATCACAACTCTTGCTGTCACATTAAATTTGGCCCTTGCTCCAGGGTCTTACCTGTTCAATTGTCTAAGAATCCTCTTTGCGCTGTTATGCTGGAGGCAGACATCATTTGTCCTAGGAAACCTTTACTGGCACTGCTTCAAAATGGACTTGCAGCATCTGAATGGTTGACTGTGGCCTCATCCACACTTCCCCCTGTCCTGTTGCTTTTCTCCAAGGAAAACTGCTCTTTAGTGCTCAATCGGAGCAAACAGCAATTCAGGTTTTCCCTAGATTGCCATTTGTTCTGACCTATCACTAAAGAGCTGCTTTTCCCTTGGAAAGAAGTGGAAAATTGCCGAGACCTGGGCTTTCTAGGCCCAAGACAAACAGAAGGATGGGCAAGCCCTTTGATGCACAAGCAAGATGCAAAACTGAATGAGCTGGATTCAGCTGAATAGCCAGCACACCAGGTCCCACTAGTGCAATAAGGCCTTTTCTCCCCTCCCTTCCTCTCAACATCCCCACACCAGCTCTGCAGGAACCCCTGAAACAGCACAGGGAAGGGAGAGATGGTTTGACAACTGGCTCAAAGAATGACCACCTTAGCATGGTGTTGAATTCCACTCAATGTGTGCTCGTCGCACACAAGTCTAAAGAAGAGCAATCCTGGGATCCTTGGATGAAGGACGGATATGAATTTAATAAATAATAGTAATAATAATAACATCAAGGCTTGGCCCCCTTCAGCAAGTTGCCCGCTTTGAACTGGGTTGCCATGTGGCTCCTCATAGGAAGAAATGCAGGTGTGAAATGTGTATAACCTGCTCTCTGGTGGCAGAATGGATCGACCGGGTGAGAGCTTTGGCTGAGCCTGGTCCAAGCAGCCCATTTTGCAAATGTGCACCTTCTGAGCTAGACAGACAGAGAATGGCTTCAGCCACCCACACTGTAAGAGGCAGCCTTGGTGCTGCTCAGGCAGAGGGAGGTGAGATTGTTATCTTTGATGCAGATCACATGGGGACTTGCAGAGCACAGGATGAGGAGGGGAGGAAATCAGCCAGACAGTGAAGTGGTGAAGGCAGGATGGGGTGAGAAGCTCAGCAGGAAGCCAAGGTAACTGGGCAGATGGCTCTGTGCTGTGGTGGAAGGGGAACTGGTTATTGGGGAGGGGGGTTGCAGAATGAGGGGTGAGGAAGAGAAGTAACAGAATTGGGACCGGGAGATGTACTCTGCACCCCTTTGTTGCAGCAGATCTTGCTGTTGATTGGGCAGATACAATTGAAAATTGAAAATAAAACTTTTTTAAAAATGCATTATTCAGGAGAGGCACTCTTGCACTGTAGCACAACAAAGGCAGGGCAAAAAACCAGAAAATTTGTGGTGCAAAAGACTTGCATAACTACTGATTAAATTTCAGGAGGAAGCTATGGGGCATGCACTGATTGGAAAGGAAGCAGTATGCTCCCCCCGAAACTTTTGCAGGTGGAAACAGTATTGAAAAGGGGATTGTGTACAACTGCCCTGATACCATCAGGAGCACAAATAAACACTGATGCACGACAAAAAGGATATCCAGAGAGCCCAGCAAAGCACAAATCCTGCACAAATATGGCCTAAAAGATTTTGCACTGCAGGTGTTACTCAGCCAGGATTTTCCCTTTGGTGGTTTTTTGATGAACTTGTGCCAGACGAACCTGCTGCCCCAGTTCCTGTGGGTCCCATATTCTCACCCTCTGGACACCTCTGAAGTATTAAACCCAGGCTGTGGAGCTAGCTGCCTAGAACAAAGCAGTGCCCATAGCAGGGAGGAGGGTAGGAAATGAAAGGTTGGTCCTCTCTATGGGATGCACAGCTCAGAGCAATCCCTGCTCCAAGGCTGGCACCATGCAAGGGGTTGGGCAGCATGGCTTCCCAGTGCACAAGGGATGTGGTAGGACAGGTTCTGTGGGTCAGGGCAGAGCCGGTTGCTCAAGAGGCAAGCCCCACAGTGCCCCACCCATGGCTCTTTGGAGCTAGGCCACAGTCTGCGAGGTTTGGCAAAGCACGGCGAACCTTCTCTCGACGGTTTCAGACAAGGCAGATGGGCTTCTGTTGATACTCCACTGTCCTCTCCCAGGTTCTGCAAGCCTCAAGGAGCTTAGCTTGCAAGTTACAATTAGCAACTCTGCGCAGTGCAATCTCTTTCATCACAGGAAGTGTCTGGGTATGAGAATGACAGTGTGGGATGCAGTTGGGCTTGCCATCTTATTTTCTGTTCCTGTTGTTAAAGGCGCAGGAGCCTTGCTAGAAAAATGTCCGTGACTGAAACACAGCCGGTGTAGGGCAGCATCTTTCAGGACAAGAAACCTCTCAGTTGCGCTCCACGAATGGACAGGGATGGAATTTGACTGCGGTAACCCTGCTGCAACATCCGCCTGCCACTAAAAAGGACTGTTCCTTGGTGGGGAAAGACTACCTTCTGGGTTTCAGGAGGAGAAAAGTGCATCTTTCAATTGCCCTGAGAAGCATAGCTGTCAACTTACAGATTTGAAAATAAGGGACCAGCAGCCTCGAAAATAAGGGATCAGCAGCCAAAATAAGGGATTCTCCGGGCACAGGTATGTTTAGCTTCTGAGCCCCTCCGAGCCAAAGGCAGAAAGCCCAGCCAGCAGCCAAACGAAGCCTCATCAATAAGGGACAGCAGCGGGACATGGTGCTGGGATAAGGGACTGTCCCACCAAATAAGGGACGCTTGACAGCTATGCTGAGAAGGCAGGTATCGCTTGTGTTTCCTTGCTGCTCAGGAGAGGGAACCGTGTGGCTTTGGTCAAACTGCCAAGACAGGAAGAGTATTAGGCCATTCAGTAAGAACCAGAAGGTGGGAAATCTGGGCTCACTTTTAGCTTGACTGTGATATCCCGAAACCTTGCATGGAATACAAGGGTCTTTTGTTTTTGATGCTTTTCTGGAACCTTTTGCATTTACGCTTTTGCTTTTCAGATGGAGGCCCCCCAGAAACACAGGTCCGGAACAGATACGCCATCCTTGTTGAGGTCCTACAGGTGGCAGACAGTTCTACAGAACGGCGAGAAGGAACCAGAGTTGAACCATGCAACATGGGGCAGCAGCAGCCGGAGGGACAGGTTACAGAAATGGAGGCGAGTACAAAGCCAGCCAGAGACCGAGCTTTCTGAATCTAGCCATGAGCACCCACAAGCGCCAGTGGCCCCCCAAGACAGCAGAGCTGCTGCTAAGAGATCTGTCTTCCAGAGGGCTTTCTCCACTCCAGCCAAAGTGCCCAAGGCCCAGGAGAGAAGCAGTAAGATGAGTTTAAGGAAGTACTTGCGCTCTGTGTCCCACCGAAGGAACCAGGAGGGGACCCTCCGATCGGAAAGGGAGACTAAGGAAGCGAGCAAAGGTAAGACAGCTCTCCCAAAGGGCAGTTTTGTGATGGACACCAGCTAGGTTTCTGTGTTGTTTTGAACTAGAAGAGAGCAGACCATACGTGCAGGACAGGCTGGGGGAAGTGGGTAGCTGCAGAAAGCTGGTTCAAGGCCTGACATTGCTCAAAAACACCTTCCACATCCTGTCTAGGGTTCTATCGCTATGACAGAGATATTTTTTGAAAGCATGAAGGCAGCGACTGGTGAAATCCCAGGTGACAATGCAAGGAGCCACGAGGAATTGATGCTTCAGTGCTCTGCATGACTCTTTACCTTGCACAAACCATAGTATATGCAAAATAAAAAAGTAAAAAATAAAAGTTAAGGACCCCTGGACGCACAGAAACGCCATTTACTTTTCTGCCGCAGCGGTACCTATTTATCCTTTTTTTTCTTTCAAAGTTTCAAAAAACAATTTTACACACACACACACACATTTACATTAACCCATAATCCATTTCTGTACATTTATGGGGTTCCCTGAACCCCTAGACTTCCCCCCACCCCTCCCTTGGCTTCCATAATTTATCTTCCTTTTTTACTTCATCTAATTCAATTTATCTAAAACTATTACACTTCAACTTTATCCTTTGTTGTTTAAAATTATAAGTGCTAAATCAATCATGTTAACATTTTTAAATGTTTACAGTGTTCTTTAATATATTCTACAAAGTCATGCCATTCTTTGTTGAATTTATTATCCTCTTGGTGCCTGATCTTCCCAGTCAGCCTTGCCATTTTGGCATAGTCCATCATCTTCATTATCCATTCTTCTTTCGATGGGGGTCTTTCTTCTTTCCATCCCTGGGCAGATAACATTCTTGCCGCTGTCGCCGCATATATAAACAGTACTTTCTTATCCTTCGGCAATTCTTCTCCTATTATACCTAATAAGAAAGCCTCTGGTTTTTTAAACAATAGTTATTTTAAACATTTTTTTTCAGTTCATTTATAAATAATTTCCCAGAAGAGAGGGGTGGTACCTATTTATCTACTTGCACTGGCGTGCTTTCAAACTGCTAGGTTAGCAGGAGCTGGGACAGAGCAATGAGAGCTCATGGGGATTCGAACTGCTGACCTTCCAATCGGCAAGCCCAAGAGGCTCAGTTGTTTAGACCACAGCGCCACCCGCGTCCCTATAAAGAGCAAAATAAATGCTCTTAATGTCCGTATTTTATTCATGCACAGAATTTGGGTTGTTTCAGCCAAGCTGACACAACCCATAACTGTTCTAATTGGTATTAGAACGCAAAAAGAACCAAAGTGAAGTCGGTATTCTAGATTAATCTGTCAAGGAAAATAAATGATGTGATACTATGTCTGGGCTGCCAGTGTCTTCCTCTGTTTCTCAAAGGGTGAGCCTCTCCACCTCTCCAGGAATTTCTCTCTTCTTGCCAAATTCTGGGAAGAATAATGGTTGGTTTTAAACCACGGTTTAGAAACTATTGTGCAATAAGTAAGCAGCTGTCTGTCTTTCATCAGGCTGCCGTGAAAAAAAGAAGAAAAGAACTGGTGTGGTGATTGGCTGGGGAGATTGTTAAAAGTTTAGGAAAGTGCAAAGTTCCTAGTCTTCTTCATAGAATAGAATCATAGAATCATAGAATTTACCCCTATACCACATTTCAGTTTAGGTGCAAAATTGAGTGGGATTTTCTTCCCCGTGGGGCAGAAGGGGAGAATGCTGGCTGAACTAAAGACGATGCAAAATAGATCTATTGCTGACCCAGTTAAGCTGAAACGAAACGATTGACTGCAAACCACTTCCGTCCTATTGACACCATTCTGAAGTCAGTGAGGCTCTTGATGCCTAAAGTCATCTGAGCACTTCTGAATGTGTTCTTTGGTTTGATTCCAACTCTCGACCTGCAAAGGAAAATCCCTTGACACTCCCTGCCCTCTCCTGCTCTGTTGCTTCTGCCAACTGCTAATAATACGGTTTGGGTGAGCTTAGATCTTCCTTAGGTGTCTGTTTCATGCCTTAGTTTGGTTTACTTGGTTGCACCATTTTTAAAAGTCTGCATCTAAACATGCAAGCTTTTTCGTTCTGCTGGTGTTGAAATGACGGCCGCAGCAGCTACTTCCTTCACTTTGGTGAAAGGCCTTTCCTACACGAGTTGGCGTTCTGCTCCATATATCTGCACTTGTTTGTTGTGCACAGCCCACACTCCTTACCTCAAAGCAGCGCTTTTGTGGAATGTGATTGCGAAACAGCTGTGTCTGTGTGTGGTGTATTTTATACCATTTATAATAAGTGGCACATCCTCTCCCTTTGCTGCCAGTGCTATCGCTCTGCCTTTTGTTCCAGTTTATATTTTATTATTTAAGTTTGTTTGTTTTAAAAGCAAATAAACTATTTACTTGGTGGTGTGCTTTGGTGTGAACTCCTGCATGCGGTGGAATGCCCAGCCAGTTTTCTTTTCTTTTAAAAAAAGTTTTATTTATGCTTTTCAGGTTTATACATTTCACTAATTTTTCAAGCATTTTCACATTTCAAAACTTGACTTCCTTCCCCCTCTTTCTGCGATTCCTTAAATTTATTTTTAATATCGTCTGCATGTCAAATTTAACTTAATTTGCTCATTTATTCAACTTCTTTAAATGTATACTCTTATAAAACTGCAGGTTATAACAATAATCCTGTCAATGTTCTTATCTGTTTACAATTTGTAAATATTCAATAAACCATTTCTATTCTTTTATTAAAAAGTTTGTTATCTTGATTTCTTAATTTTCTGGTAAGTTTTGCCATTTCTGCATATTCCATAAGTTTTTGTATCCATTCTTCCTTTGCTGGGACTTCTGCTTCTTTCCATTTTGTGCGAGTAACATTCTTGCTGCTGTGGTCACATACATGAATAAGTTTCTATACAGTTAAGGTAGTTCTTGCCGTATAATTCCCAAAAGAAAACCTTCTGTGTTTGTTTGTTTTTACAAAGATTTTTTAAAAATAAAATATATTTATTATTTTTCTCCTTAAACAGTATTTTCAACATTACAATACCAAACACAAAGACTTTCTGCTCTGCCCAGCATACGACTTTCCTCCTTCCCTTCAGTAGGTTTTCCACTTTCAGATCGCGCAGTTTAAATCGTTAACCTATTGTCCACATTGTAGGATTTATTTCAATCCTGCTTGTGTCTTCAGATTTTTGCAATTATTATTCAAAAATGCAATAAATTTACTCCAGTCCCTTTGGAATTTCTAATCGTCCTAGTCTTGAATCCTGCAAGTCAGTCTGGCCAGTTCTGCAAAGCCCATCATCTTCGCCTGCCACTCTGCAATGGTAGGTACCTCCTGTAACTTCCACTTTTGGGCCAATAAAGTTCTCGCTGCAACTGTGGCGTACATAAATAGTCTTTGGTCTACCTTCGCAATTTCCTCTCCCATCAAACCTAGCAAAAATGCTTCCTGTTTTTTGGGGAAGGTATATCTAAACATCTTTTTTAGTTCATTATAGATCAGTTCCCAAAATATTTTTACTCTGTCACAAGTCCACCACATGTGATAAAAGTCACCGTCTGATTCTTTACATTTCCAGCATGTTTTATCTCTCATTCTATACATTTTAGCTAACTTTACTGGTGTCAAATACCACCTATACATCATCTTCATTACATTTTCTTTTAATGCCATACACGCTGTAAATTTCAAATTTTCATTCCACAATTTTATCCATGAATCAAACTCAATGTTGTGCCCAAAGTCTAGTGCCCATTTTATCACCACTTCTTTCACTTCCTCATCTTTGGTAAACCATTCTAACAACAAATTGTACATCTTAGATAAAAGTTTACTTCTGCTTTCCAACAGATTGATTTGAAATCTTGATTTTTTTGTTTTCAAAACCAACCTTCCTCTTATCAACATTAAATATGTCACTAACTTGATGATATTGCAACCACCCTGTAAATAAACCTTCAGTTTGGTTATATGGTTTAAGTTTTAAGCTTTGCTCGGTTTCCATCAAAATCTCTTCATATGTGGCCCACCATCCCTCCATATTTAATTTTTTGACCATCAATACCTGAAACATTATTTTAAACAACCCAGCCAGTTTTCTCTATGCGTATGTGCGTGTGTGTTTTAAAAAGAGGAGATACAGTAGCTTGGTAGTGTTGGGCTTCATCTTTTTTTTTTTAAGTCATCATAAACCTCTTAAAAATAAAAATAAAAATTCCAAGAGGTATGTGAGGGGTGGTGAGAGAGAGAGGAAGGAAGTGAACTTGTAACATCTCAAGAGCTAGCCAGTTAGTGCTCTGACTTCTGCTATGAACAGGAAGACCTAGGATGCATCCACACAGCAGTTTAATGTACAGTGGTACCTTAGTTCACGAACAACTTGGAACCCGAATGCTGCAAACCCGGAAGTAGGTGTTCCAGTTTTTGAACTTCTTTTCAGAAGCCGAATGTGCTCCGTTTTGAGTCCCCCTGTGTTTCCTGTTGCGCTACTAAAATGAACCATGAAAAGAAAAGAAGGGAAGTCATTGATATCTTAAGGATGTAAAAATGAGTACTGACAAGTACTTTAAATTGTAAAACAGAAAATTTAATACAATGGTACCTCAGTTTACGAACTTAATCTGTTCTGGAAGTCCGTTCTTAAACCAAAGCTGTTCCTAAACTGAGGCGCACTTTCCCTAATGAAACCTCCTGCCGCCGGTGCCCTTCCACCGTTTGGATTCCGTTATTAGACCAAGGTAAAGTTCTCAAACCAAGACACTATTTCCGGTTTTGCTGAGTTTGTAAATCAAATCGTTCTTAAACCAGACTGTTCTTAAACCGAGGTAATGTGTGTATGTCTGTGTGTGTGTGTGTGTTGTTTCAGCTTTAGGGATCTGCCCTGTATCTTCCGCTGTGAAGACGGAATTAACGCAGCTTCTCTGAAAACACCTTCTCCTGCCTTTGCCTTCTTTTGCCTTCCTTGTTATCCAAAGGTCCAACCATCTCCCTAGCTTATTTCCTGTTGCTCCACATTATGTTGCATTTTTCTGTTGAGCTAGGTATACAAGTCTCTTTCCATTGGGTTTTGGTTTCCTTTCCCCCGCCCTTCCTAATTGCACCCAAACCCTCTATGCAAATTTTGTTTGGGATTGTTAAACTGGCAAATAATTGCTAGCTGCCGCTCAACGGAGAGGGCGGGGTGGGCAGGGCTGCTCTTGTGGGTGGGGATGTCTTTCAAAGATTATCCTGTGGTGATTGGCATGTCAGAAGGAAGGTGGAACGGTATGGCACAAGCTTTGCTGTTTTGCAGGCACTAACTGCCCAATGATGCAGCTCTTGGTAGTAGTGGAAACTGCAGCTCGATGCTTTTCTGCTGCAATTGACTATGCCAACCCATCCAGCTTTCCGATCTCTATCTGCATGTAGCCGCACAAGTGCGGGCAGGATCCACCTCAGGGACAGGAGGAGCCGGCAGCCACCCCCTCGTTTCCCTCTGACCTCTCCCTGTGCTTGAGTGGGATAGAAAAATCTCAACCACCAGGAGGACAGCTGCGACTCATAGGGAGGGCATGAGATGCTTGACTTTCCGGTGCCCACAGCCTGGCAGCGTAATACTTGAAAAGACCCTAAATGGTGTGCCCATCAACCCCAAAACACCAGGTACCTCAGGTTACAGACTCCGCTAACCCAGAAATAGTACCTTGAGTTAAGAACTTTGCTTCAGGATGAGAACAGAAATTGCGTGGTGGCGGCATGGTGGCAGCGGGAGGCCCCATTAGCTAAAGTGGTACCTCAGGTTAAGAACAGTTTCAGGTTAAGAACGGGCCTCCAGAACGAATTAAGTTCTTAACCAGAGGTACCACTGTATTGCCATTATTTTGCGTGTGTGACTCAGTGAAGCCAAGTTACAGGCTATGCTACTTTCCATTGTTCAAGGCAAATTTAGCAAGGTGACCCCGGTCATAATGGTTGTGCTCAGCTTCCAAATAGATTTTGTTCAGTCTGTGTTTTTAAGGGATCCCATTAAGTGGCTGATTTGCACTTCCTGGATTAATAGGCACATCCAATGTCCTGCCTTGGTTCCTTAGAGCAGGGGAAGGCAACCTAAGGCCCAGGGGCTGGATGTGGCCCAATCGCCTTTTCAATCCAGCCCACGGACGGTCCAGGAATCAGTGTGTTTTTACATGAGAATATATAATAATAATAATATATAATAATAATAATAATAATAATAATAATAATTTTATTTATATCCTGCCCTCCCCAGCCAAAGCTGGGCTCAGAGTGGCTAACAACAGTAAAAAATAACACAGTTTACATAAAATCACAATCAATTACCGTAATTGAAATACATTCTAAAATCAATTCATTCTAAAATCAATTCAAAATCAAATGAATGGCAACCCTTGGGCTGGAGTGCTATGAGGATTACAGAGGGAGGGGGTCAGACTGCACCTTGGCCAAAGGCCTGGTGGAACAGCTCTGTCTTGTAGGCCCTGCGGAAAGATGTCAAGTTCCGCAGGGCCTTAGTCTCTTGTGACAGAGCATTCCACCAGATTGGGGCCATGGCCGAAAAAGCCCTGGCTCTGGTTGAGGCCAGCCTAACCTCCCTGTGGCCCGGGATCTCCAAGATGTTTTTATTTGAAGACCGTAAGGTCCTCCCTGGGACATACCAGGAGAGGTAGTCCCGTAGGTACGAATGTGTGCTTTTATTTAAAATGCATCTTTGGGTTATTTGTGGGGCATAGGACTTCGTTCAACCCCCCCCCCCCAATGTAGTCCAATCCACCACATGGTCTGAGGGACGGTGGACCAGCCCACAGCTGAAAAAGGTTGCTGACCGCTGCCCTAGAGGAACTCACAGAGCAAGGCAGCAAAGCAGGCCAGGTGTTGCAGCACTACGGAGAGCTCCAAGTGTGCTCCAAAGGTCTAGGGGTGAACTGAGGACTTTTGAGCCTTTGTCCAGCTGTTCATTGCTGGGCTCTGAGGCCATGGCAGAACATCAGTTATCCTTCAGTTTTCACACATCTCTGAATCTTAAGATACACTTCTCTGGCCTAAACAAAAACAAACACTGTTCATAAATGCATATTGTATGTTAGAATGCATATAAAATGCCCCCCTATATATAATTAAATTTTCTTTTTTACAATTTAAAGTACTCATAATTACATCCTTAAGATATCAATAACTTCCCTTCTTTGCTTTCCATGGTTCATTTTACATATCATAAATCCCTGCATATTCTACAGAAACTATACCATTCAGTATACCATTATTGCATCCATCAAAACATATTTACACTGTTGAATTTATCTTAATGCTGCCAGCATTTTCAGCTGTACACAGTTTTATATATATATGCTAAATCTAAAGTTGCCTGATTTATTCAATGGTGTTTATCTAGTCTTTTATATATTGTATGTGTTTGGATTATCAATGTATGATTTTATGATTTTACTGTTTTAACTTATGCCAATAAAGGCTAGTTACAAGTTACAAGTCACAAGGGCATAGCATATAATGGAAAGACACATTGATGGGAGTTACTTACTTGGGAGGAAAATATATTTTGCTCTCACGTCTTTATTAGCAAGTATGAGCCCGGGTAAACCCAAATGCCTCCTTGTTCTTCTTCTTGCAGGTGATGATTCTACTGTCCAGTTGACCCAACTGACTTCGGCTGTGCCAACGGATGCAACCATCTGGGATGTGGCCAATGTGTCCCTGGTGGATCGACAGCTAATGGTCTTGGGCAGAGATGAGGAGGTGGGGCCATCTCTGACATTCAAAACTGTAAGAGGGAGAAGGAGGGTGTATGTGTCTGTCTGAGCACACCCAGCACATGGTCTCATGTCAAGGAAGTGTATGCTTCTCAGGCCGTGAACTGCTGGCTGAGTGTTGACTGAAGCCACTGCTGCTCAGAGACCTGAGCCCAACTTTGCTGGTTATGGATGGCATCGGTACAGTGGTACCTCGGGTTAAGTACTTAATTCGTTCCAGAGGTCCGTTCTTCACCTGAAACTGTTCTTAACCTGAGGTACCACTTTAGCTAATGGGGCCTCCTGCTGCTGCCTCGCCGCCGGAGCACGATTTCTGTTCTCATCCTGAAGCAAAGTTCCTAACCTGAGGTAATATTTCTGGGTTAGCGGAGTCTGTAACCTGAAGCATATGTAACCTGAAGCGTATGTAACCTGAGGTACCACTGTACCTTAAAGGTTCCTGCCAAATTTTCTACACTGCCAGTAAGGATTCATAGAGTAATGGTCCTCCATGGGTCACAGATACAGGTCTCTCAACTCCAGGAAAGTAGAAGGGAAAATGGACCTCCTATCCAGTCCCAATGCATCTCTCACTCTGGGGGTGGAAGAGTAAAAGCTAGGATGTCGGTGCCTGGGAAGCAGAGCAGAAATGGGAACTCTATGTTAAGCTTGTTCTACAGGATCCCATGAGAGAAATCATCATGGGCCCATTTTCCTTTCTGCTTTCCTGAAGTTGAGAAATTTTCTACACTGGCTAAAAAGCCGCCTTCTTAACACACTGCTTTGGACCACGAGGGAAGTTGCCTCGTTTGTTTGTTTATTTATTTATCTATTATTATATTTCATCATATTATTTATATACTGCCTTTCATCAAAAGATCTCAGGGCGGCTCACAAGATAAAAATACAAGGGGAAAGCACAAATAAATAGTTAACAAAAACAAAAACAATAACACATACACCCCTCCCTCAGACACTAAAAATATATAATGAAGGCGCCAGGCGAGCCTCACTGGGGAGAGCATCCCACAAATGGGGGGCCATTGCGGAAAAGGCCCTGTTCTGTGTTGCCACCCTCTGGACCTCTTGTGGAGTAGGCACACCAAGAAGGGCTTCAGTGGTTGAATACAGAGTCTGGGATGGTTTCTATGGAGAGAGGCGGTCCTTGAGGTCTTGCGGTCCTGAGCCCCACCTTTTTCCCTGACAGGGACTCAAGGAGGCTTACAGCTAAAATAGAAACAGCTAAAAAGGTTGAGGGTTGGGGGAAGCAATCATGTAAAACAATCAAACATTTATTTTTATTTTTTCTGTTAAAACATACAGATCATGCCAATAAAAGCATCAGAGCACCAGCCCTTTCCTTAAAAAACATTTACTGTATTTTTTGCTCTATAAGACTCACTTTTTCCCTCCTAAAAAGTAAGGGGAAATGTGTGTGCGTCTTATGGAGCGAATGCAGGCTGCGCAGCTATCCCAGAAGCCAGAACAGCAAGAGGGATTGCTGCTTTCACTGCACAGCGATCCCTCTTGCTGTTCTGGCTTCTGAGATTCAGAATATTTTTCTTCTTGTTTTCCTCTTCCCAAAACTAGGTGTGTCTTGTGGTCTGGTGCGTCTTATAGAGCGAAAAATACAGTAGTTCTTGTTGTTGGAACAAGAAAGACTTCACCTGCTGTAGTGTAGAAGAATGGGGAAGAGGGAAATCATTATCACTATCATCTATTTTGTCTGTGGTGTTTGGTTTGCCATTTTAGGATCTGCTCCAGAATGGGAAACGAGCCAGTTCTGCTTCAGAGTCAAGTTTACTATACCCGCCAGGTACCCAGAGGGACAATGGTGAGTACTGAGAGACTGCCATATGCACAGAGAGAGAGTCTGTTGAAAAGGAGAGAAGAGCGTTGGAAGGATCCAGTCCTTGCCAGCCTCCGAGATCATGCCCAGGGTGTTTGTATTTTTGACATCAAAGCACAACAACCCAAATCATGAGAGCCACGGAGTCAGAGCCCTACCAACCACTGGGAAGCTAGTTTTCAGTAGCCACCAACCTGCTCCACAAATTGGGATCCTTTAAATGAGGTAACAGAGGTGGTGGAGTCTGAACAATTTCCCCTGGCACAAGATCAGGAGAGCCATTGTATCATATGTCAAAATGTTTCCTTGAGAGCTCCAGCGTAGAAAGTACCGCTCTATAGGACGCACCGGACGCATAGGAGGGGGAGAACAGGGGAAAAGAATTCTCCCCCTCTCTGCTCAGCGCCCCTTCAGTGAAGCATCAGGCGAAGCAGAGCCCCTTCCATTTCTCCTCCCACTTCGCACTGCACAGAGAGGGAAAACTGTGCAGCGTCTCTCCAGCGAAGTGAAGCCTGGAGAGCAAGAGGGATCGGTGTGCACTGACTCCTCTTGCTCTCCAGGCTTCAGGCAGCTATCTGCAAGCCTTTGGAGCGCAGCGGGAACTCCTGCTGCGCTCCGAAGGCTTGCGGATAGCCGCCTGAAGCCCCCGGAGCACAGTGGGAGTTCGTGCTGCGCTCCGGGGGCTTCAGGTGGCTTCACGTTGCTATCGCTGAAGCCAAGGAGCCTGTATTCACTCCATAGGACACACACACATTTCCCCTTCATTTTTGGAGGGGGGAAAGTGCGTCCTATAGAGCGAAAAATACGGTATTTGTGACCATCATGCAGGCCACTCATTAGGAAGCTGAACGAGCCAAGCACCAAATGCACCTGAAACGATGAGGAAGGCTAGGGCTGGGTCCACGGAAGAGGGAGGTTGGATGTCATACATTTCATATATCGGATTACATAGAGGAGGGAAAGCTGTTCTGCTGCTCCAGAGAAGCGGACAGGAGCAATGGATCAAACTACAAAAAGAAGATTCCCTATTAGAGTCCTGCAGTAAGAGCTGTTCGACAGTGGAATTGCTGCAAGGAGTGTGTGGATCTCCTCTTGGGCTTTAGCGAGCTTGACAACCATATGTCAGGAGTGCTTGATGGTGTTCCGTTGCACCGGCGTTGACTCACATGCATTGTGGTCTCTTCAGATCGTTGATCTATGATCTATGATTACCGTGGGCGTGACGGCCACGGGAGCAGCGTCGATGCAATCTTATTCCCCTGTTTCCGATATAGATCTTCCTCATCTGCTTCTTGGGGAGGGGGACACCATTTGGGATCGCCTCCGGCGCAACATGCATTGGTGGTCAGAATTGGGCTGGCAAAGAGCCTCAGTCCATGATACAGAGGGAGCAGTGAATGGTGAGCTGGGGGCTGGGTACTGGTACCGCTTGCTCCCATCTTCCAGGAACTGCCTCTTCTGGCCAACATGACAGCCAACCAGTCCACTTTGCTTGGTCCACTTTGCTCCCGACAGAAATGCTCATCGAGGGAAGAAGCTTCTTAGACTCACAGACTCCCGAAAAAAAACCCTGCCAAGAGACTTCCTCCGGCTCGCAGCTCAGCAATGTGAAGGTAGAGAAGATATTAGTTCAGTATATTACAGGTTCAGGGAGCCCAGACTGGTGCTTACTGGGAGCGGAGGAAAGAGGGGGGCCTTAGGAGGGAGGCATGACTCCTCAAGGGAGACTACGAAGAGCTATTTCATTTATCTATTATTAGTTTTTAGCATATCATTTTCAACAATTATTAAACATACTTTTATATCTTATACAATTTTTTTATTTCCATCAATCACATCTGAAAATTTTCAAATCTTTTTCACTTAATTTACATTTCTTACTTTCACTATTACATTTAAATATCATAACTAATGTCTCTCTTCTTTCTCTTCTTTGCAATATTTCATATATTCCTCCTTACAAAACTTCTTGTAGTCCTACTAGCATAATTTGTTGATTACAGTTGCTCTTCAAATAGTTCCAATTTTCTGTAAATATCTGGTTTAAAGGTAAAGGTAAAGGGACCCCTGACCATTAGGTCCAGTCGTGACCGACGCTGGGGTTGCGGTGCTCATCTCGCTTTATTGGCCAAGGGAGCCGCTTCCGGGTCATGTGGCCAGCATGACTAAGCTGCTTCTGGCGAACCAGAGCAGCACATGGAAACGCTGTTTACCTTCCTGCTGGAGTGGTACCTATTTATCTACTTGCACTTTGATGCGCTTTCGAACTGCTAGGTTGGCAGGAGCAGGGACCGAGCAATGGGAGCTCACCCCATTGCGGGGATTCGAACCGCCAACCTTCCGATAGGCAAGTCCTAGGCTCTGTGGTTTAACCCACAGTGCCACCCGCGTCCCTAAATCTCTGGTTTACGAAGAACTATTTTAAAACAGCACTGGGCTGAGCAGGCTCATGATGGTCTGGCTTGGCATAAGGTAGCACCATTATCTGACCTGGGGCGCTTGTCAGATGACACCTGTGTTCGTCCAGATGTTGTTGGGCTCCAACTCTTGTCAGCCCCAACCTCCATGGCCGATAGTTGGGAGTAGTGGGCGTTGCAGTCCAGTCGCATCTAGAGCAAACCAAGTTCCACACTCCTGTTATGGGGCAAGTCACACAGATAAACACTCTTCTGCGCTCAGAATTCCTTCATTTCTTCATTTATTTATTGCATTTATTACATCTCACACCATCTCTAGGGGCTGCTATGGAAACGCATCAAGGACCGGAAAGGACGGCTCCAGGCCAAGGCTGACTCCTCTACTGGACTTGTTGCTAATGGTAACAGGTAGGCCCTGAAGCCAGTTTGGAACAGAAGAGTCCATTGTTTTCTGTCTTTTATGCCTCTTTATGGATGCAATGGGACGCAGGTGGCGCTGTGGGTTAAACTACAGAGCCTAGGACTTGCTGATCAGAAGGTCGGCGGTTCGAATCCCCACGACGGGGTGAGCTCCCGTTGCTTGGTCCTTGCTCCTGCCAACCTAGCAGTTCGAAAGCACGTCAAAGTGCAAGTAGATAAATAGGTACCACTCCGGCGGGAAGGTAAACGGCATTTCCGTGCGCTGCTCTGGTTCGCCAGAAGCGGCTTAGTCATGCTGGCCACATGACCTGGAAGCTGTACGCCAGCTCCCTCGGCCAATAAAGCGAGATGAGCGCCGCAACCCCAGAGTCGGTCACGACTGGACCTAATGTTCAGGGGTCCCCTTTACCTTTACCTTTTATGGATGCAATGGGCCCCATTTCTTTCCGCCTGTGTTTATATTTCCTGAGAACTAGAACGAAACCAAGGTTAGATCAGGGAATTTATCTAATAACTTGGATTGGCTGCATTAAATGCTGGCACCATGTCTTCTTCAGAGGGGGTAGGATGCTATGGACATTTTGTCAAACTCACCATGCCTGAAAGGATGCTCTGTTTACTTTGTTGCGGGTACCAGATTGCTTCACAACCAATCTGTTTGGCTGGGGGCCCACATGGCCTTTCCCCCGGGTTGTGATGCTAGGAAGGGGGGGGCTCCCTTTGAACCCTGTATGTGCTCGCCCCGTGATAGGGTTTCACTCTTCTTCCAACATCTCCTCCAGTTCCAGGTTGGTGCTGCTAGGAAAATGGCAGGGAAGAAGACAAAGAAAGCTGTTAAGGGAGGGACAAACCTCTGATAACTTTTTTCTGCCAGATGCTGCAAAGTTAGTATAATCTGAGCAGAAATAAAAGTCTTAATAAAATATGCAAGGAAGGGATAACAATGCTTCTGTTGGTGATGGTGTCAAATGTTCAGGGTTGTCCATCCACACTGTCTGGTCCTATCCTGGCCCCTCTTGTCACTTCCTCCAGGGAGGCCCTTCCTGGCCCGGCTGTTCTCATGGACTTGGGCAACGAAAAGGATGCCTTGATCCGCCCACTTCACAACAGCCTTCTGGGAGAGCGGTACTGCTTTGAGGTATGAGCCTATTGTCATCCCTTGACCTGAGAAGCTGCATTTCTCCAGTTATGAAGGGAGACGTTCAGGGCCAGGCCTTGGGAGCTTGACCCAGTGATGAAAGAAATGCCTTCTGTACGCACTCGGGGACTCTGTCTCCTCCAGCTGGTCCAAGACGTGGAGAACTCGGCTTCCCAACCTCAACAAAGCTGCCTTCAGGCTGAAGCTCTGTCATCTGCTGTGTTGTTTTATCTATAAAGCTGTCGCGGCTACATGAGGGGCTGCAAGAAGCTCCTTTGTTGGGACTGGACCTGTAGACGAAGCAGAGGAGCATATTTGGGGAAGGAGTAGGGCAAAGCCAGAGGCTGGCCATTCTTAGCAGGAGACAGCAATGCAAGCACTTTTTTTTAAGCTTACGGCGAGGCCCTAGCATTGGCACTGGGACGCAGTGCTGATGCTTGGCTTGGATTAAACAATGCCTGTTCCTTGTCACTCCCAAGTCCCCTAGGGTTTGGTTGCCCATGGGACAAACCCAGCGTGTGCTCTTAAGCACAACCCTCCCTTCCTCTTCTCAGGTGCTGAGCACTGCGGGGCGCCGCTGCTTCAGCTGTGGCTCTGCTGCCGAAAGGACCCGCTGGATGGATGACTTGCGCCGGCTTGTCCAGCCCAGTATGGTAAAGAAGCATCTTCTGTACTTTGTGCTGCTTGCAAGGGGCGCATGCTGCCTTTGTAACGGATTTCCCCACTTGCCCTATGGTATATTTGCCCACTCACCCACCCTTCCCTCTTGTCTTCTCCTGTCCCCATTCCCTATATAAATGCCCGTCCTCTGTTGTCAGGCTTCGGGGAATCAGATCCCTCCCCCGGTGGCAGCAAAGAAGCAGATAAAAAAGAAGAGTTCTTACCAATTAGTTTATTCAATAAACACAGCGAGAGACAAAGGAATGCAGTCTCTCTCTAGAAATGGCGTTGCTCCAAGTAAAGTCCCCCCACTTCATCTCCCCTAATCTATGCACTGGCGGAGGAATTGGGGGGGGGGAGTGCACCGCCCCTGCAACCATCAGGGAGGGTGGTACCATCGCGGTCGCCCCCGGTGCCGGACCATGCAGCTTCGCCACTAAATCTATGTCAGTCCTGCATCGGCTAATCTGAGCTTTCTGCCTCTGAGTTCTCTGTTCTACTACTCTCAATGCACGCCTGGTCCTGGGAGAAGGGGGGAGGTCAAGAATGCTTTCCAAAGACACTGAGTCTGTCAGCTGTCTCTCCCCTGGTGCTTCTTCTTCTTCCTGCTGTTCCTCTCCCAATATTTCCCAGCTTCTCCCCTCTGCAGCCTCTGAACTATGCCCTTCTGTAAACCGCTGATCTAAATCTATACTGTCCTCCTGTTCTCGGGAAGGTTCAGAAGAAAGGGGGGGTGGTCCCCACCATTCCTTCTCAGTCCAGCCCCTGACAGCTGTCCTGTTCTCTCCACTTGTGCACACCTCTCCTCTGGGGCAGAAGTTGTGGCCTGACCATTCCACGGTCTCATAGAAGAGTTAGCACTGCTGTACTTAGAAGCAAACACAGGCCCTGAATTCCTTCCGCCTTTTGGCTTTGTCTCTGCTGGATTCTGCCTCCATTGTTTTTGTCCCCCCCCCCCAGTTTTTTTTATTAGAAAAATGAATTAAGTCACCACTCTTTAGTTCATTTATCAATGCGGGTTCATCTCTGAGCTATATACATTGCATAGCACATAGTTAAAATTCACAGTGGACAAGTGCATGCAAAGTCATTGCACAAGGCATTTTTTTCATTGGATGCAAATTCAGGTTCCTTCCTCCCAACCCCCAATAACAAAATCAAGCAAATTAAATTTAATTTTGAGAATGAAACATATATTCTGCCTCCATTGTTGAACTAGATGTCCCTCAGGGTCCCTTCCAAGTCTACAATTCCATTATTCCACCTTTACCCACCTTCCGCCTTCAACCTCATCCCACTTGCCTCTTGCTTTCCCTTCATCCTGCATTCAGTCTGCCTCTCGAGTGACGGATTTCCGGCTGCATCTGCTTGCCTTGCTCCATGTCTCGGTTTTTTCTTAACCAAACCGCTGGCTCATTCCCCCAGGACAACTGCGAGCGGATCGAACGCATGCTGAGCCTCTGGGTGTACGAAGCCCGTGACCTTGTTCCGAGGAAGCGCTACCTGGGCGAGGTGCGACTGGATGGGGTCCTCTACGCTCGCACCACAACCAAGGCAGCCAGCCCCACTGGAACCATCTTCTGGGGGGAGCACTTTGACCTGAAGACTCTTCCGCCAGCAGTGGAGCTGCAGGTCTGCCTGGTGCAGGAGGAGGACGGGCAGCAGCGGGCAAAGGGCAGCCCGGTTGCTGGCATGGCTGTTCCCCTGAAGGAGCTGGCTGCTGTCCGCCAGCCCTTGGAAAGGTGGTACCCCTTGGGCAGAGACAGGCCCAACACGCCCGCCCTACGGCTACGTGGACGCTACTGCAACATCCGAGTGCTGCCCATCGTGCAATACAAAGAGTTTGCTGAGTATCTCACCTTCCACTATCGGGAGCTGTGTGCCGGACTGGAGCACAGCCTTAACGCCCGGGACAAGGAGGAGCTGACCGGGGTGCTGGTTCGCGTCCTGCAAAGCACAGGGAAAGCCAAGGTATGTCTTTGTTGCAAAGGTAGACAGGGCCGGCCCACCCATGAGGCTAGGCAAGGCGACTGTCTTGGGCGGCAGGATCCACAGGGCAGCAGATATCTAGGACTAGATGATCCTCAGGGTTCCTTCCAGCTCTGTGATCCTATCATTCTACATCTGGAAGGGACCCTGAGGACCACTCAGTGCAACCTCCTGCAATGCAGGAATATGCATCTCTTCCATACAGGGATTGAACCTGCACCTGTCAGGATGCTGTCAGCAGCTCCTGGCTGGCTGCCCAGGAAAGTATAAAGACAAGGAAAAGTTTCTTACTGTCCTTTTTTATTTCAATCTTTACAGAGAGGCCATAGAGCCCAGCCTCTTGGATAGTGGCATTGTCTTGAGTGAATCTCCACCCTCCATCTCTCCCACATTCTCATCATCTCCTCTACGGGTTCTTCTACGTGCCCTTTGTCTTAGAGCTCTTTGCTCTCCTACTTTTAAGGCTTGCTGTGTTCTGGGAGATGGAGGGTCTGGAATGCTTTCTAATGACAATGTGTCAGCCAGCTGCCACTCTGATTCTGCCTCCTCCTCCTCATTATTTCCCAACTTTCCTCCTCATCTCCTCTGAGCTGTGACTTCCCGCAGACCACTGTTGTAAATCTAAATTGCCTTCCTCTTCCTCCTCCCTGGGAGGGTCAGGATGGGGAGGTGGTCTCCACTATTCCTCCTCCACTGCCCAGTCCCAAACATCACCCTTGGTATTATTGGCACCATGCTCTAACCAACGGTACTATTGAGGCTGACTTATCCCCATGACCACCTTCAGCGCTAGAGGTGCCGGAACTCACCATGAACACCTCCCTCGTTCTCTTAGAACAGTGTTTCCCAACCTTGGGCCTCCAGCTGTTTTTGAACTACAATTCCCAATCATCCCTGACCACTGGTCTTGCTAGCTAGGGATGATGGGAGTTGTAGTCCAAAAACAGCTGGAGGCCCAAGGTTGGGAAACACTGTCTTAGAATGCCAATGGCGTCCACCTGAGAGGTTCTGGAATTGCGTTCCATTGAGTTCCAGCTGGGGGGAAAAAGCTCTGATATTCCTGATGTAGATCTTCACCCACCCCTTCTTCCCTGGCAGGGAGTGGGACGCCATTTTGGGATCTGCCTCGGGTGCCAAAATGTCTTGGGGCTGGCCCACAGCGTAGAAGATGGGAAGGCCTTGGATACAACAGCCGCACAGCCAGTTCAAAGCTGATTCCCATCGCCTGTCATTGCGTTCTGCTGGTTCTAGCCTTACAGCCTGCCTCCCTTCTAGGGTTTTCTAGTATTGCAGGGTTACTAAGGTGGCTCTCGGAAGCCAAGTTTGCTGCAAGAATAACCCTGGACTGCTTTGCACTTTCCCAGAGTCACAGCATGGACACAGGGCCCTGGATATCACTAGGTTGGGAGCCTGGTTCAGAATCAGGATTCCAGGGTGAGTCAGTTGGTATGGGAGATCTCTGAGGAAGGGTAGGGTTTGCCCGACTAACCCTTCCTGTCCTGTGTTGCAGGACTTTCTCATTGACTTGGGTGTGTCAGAGCTGGACCGTTTCGACGAGCGCGAAGCACTGATTTTCCGTGAAAATACCCTCGCCACCAAAGCCATCGATGAATACATGAAGCTGGTGGGAGGCCCCTACCTGCTGTCCACACTGAGTAAGTTGGCAACCGGCAGATACGGACGTGCAGCATTTTCTGAAGGAGCTAGTTAGGTTTCTCTGTTTGATTGCTGCCAGAGGAAACCCCAGAATTTGGGCCTCTAGCAACAAAGAGTATTAAAGACTTAACACATTTTATTTGGTGAGCTAGAACCCACTTCAACATCTGCATGAGTGCTATCCTCAGCTGCAGGATCGGCACAGAATGCCCTTCTTCTCTGGTTAAACTTAAACTGGCAGATTAAGTTGATGGGTTATGCAGAAATGGCAAAAATGACCGGAAGAATCAGAAATCAGGAAAACCAGAATTTTAATAAGGAATGGGGGAAATTTATAATTTATCTTAAAAGTCATTGTAAACAGTTAAAATTGTTAGTAGGCCTGGAATAACACTTGTAGTTTAATGGTGAATTTTGGATTTAATGGAGATGTAAAAGATTTGGATTATTATAAAAGATGAAGGAGGAAATGACTAACAATAGGACCTACAAAGGGGAGGAGGGAAGTCCAGGAGAGTCTTGATTTTATGATGTATGTTGGATATATGAGTGTAAAATGTTAATTTGAAAAACCAAATAAATAAATTTCAAAAAAGAAAAGAAGTGGGAACAGAATGCAAAAAGTACAGCTTGCAACGAATCTATGGCCTGTAAAAGTGTGGGTGAGAGGATAGTTATTACGATGATTATTTTTTTAGTAGGCTGTCGGTCAGTATGTTTTTTTTACTATGTTATTATTGATGTTTTGTAATGTGTTGCTAATGTCGTGCACCGCCTTGAGATCTTTTGATAATGGGTGGTATATAAAATTGAAATAAGAAGAAGTCATTTTGACCTCAGGTCTATGCAAAATGACCCTTCATGGCAGCATTAGCTGGGCATGCTCAAGTAGTCTGGTCAGTGCCGGATTTGCGTATAAGCTAAACAAGCTATAGCTTAGGGCCCCACTCTCTTGGGGGGCCCAAAAAAATTTAAAGGAAAAAAACTGGATGTACTTTTCCAAAATATAAGATAACAAATAAAATAAAACCTACATACAGCAACAGCGTTTTGTGTTGTGTAGGCTCCTATAATGTGTTGTGGGCCCCGCCTGCTAGCCTGCTCCCTAAAATATCACCGGTTTGCTCATTTCTATATATAGGGTGCCTACATTCTGCATTGACTGGTTGCATGGCAGCATGCGCAAACGGCTTTGGATACCTATTAGGTCCATAAATTACCATATAACATATATTCAGCACAAAAAACAGAGGCAATTTGTTGTTGACAAAGGACAGCTGGACAAATAAAGGGCCCCATTACACCAACCTAGCAGTTCAAAAGCACTTCAAAGTGCAAGTAGATAAATAGGTACCGTTCCGGCGGGAAGGTAAACGGCGTTTCCATGCGCTGCTCTGGTTCTCCAGAAGCGGCTTAGTCATACTGTCCACATGACCCGGAAGCTGTACACCGGCTCCTTTGGTCAATAAAGCAAGATGAGTGCCGCAACCCCAGAGTCGGCCACGACTGGACCTAATGGTCAGGCGTCAGCTTACCTTTACCTTCATTAGCTTAGGGCCTCATCAAACCTCAATCCGGCCCTGAGTCTGGTCTTCATTGCGGGTCATGTTGTAGTCCAAGGTATCCCTGTTGTAACTCCAGCCAACACTGTAGCCTGGCTGAAATTAAAGCATGAGGCTGTGTTGCAGGTGATATCGTCGCCCAGCCATACACTTTAGAGGACAGCTGTGAAGTGGATCCCAGCAAATGTGCGCCATGTGACCTGGCTGACAACCGCAGCAACCTGCAGCACATCTGCGAAGAGATCTTCCGGAGGATTGCTGTATCTAGCCAGTGAGTGCTTGAGTGGGTCATTGGGGGGCGGCGGCGGCGGCGGGGGGTGGACACTCTTCCCATTGGGCCTGCAGAAGTGAAGCCGGGGGCACCATTTGTGGTTTTCTGTGCCCGCCACTATGCCTCTCATGATGTATCGGGCCAGAAAGTTGCAGTCCAGGATCCCTCTTATGGCCCCCTCGGCCAGGCAGCACTCTGGCCCAAATGAATGGGGAATGGCAGTGTGGGAATGTTCAGGGATGCAGGAGAGGATATATTGTTTGATTATAGCCTTTCCAACTTGTGTAAACAAGTTCACAGTTTAAAAAGGGGAATGTTACTCTGCTAAACTCACAGCGGATGCATTTGCTTAGGCTCGCTAAAGCCTCTGTAATAACTTTTCTGGGGGTTTTTTCTTCTTTATTCCCTCATAAAAGATAAGACATGATACAGTCTTCTATAAAGTATAAAAAAGAGTTTACTCACTCACATTCTGTTCAGAATCGGATCCCAGAAGGCAGACTTAGCTTAGAAAAGTAACATACACCTGGAAACTATCTCATAAGGAGACAGTCCCTTTGTCTTCTCTTGGCTGGAGAACAAGAGAGCATCTTTGGCTAAGCAGATGTTGCTTCTTTGACAAAAGTAGCCATAAAGAGAGAGATGGCGGCCAGTCCTATGCTTTTGTTACCTGCACAGGTGAGGCCACGCCCACCTCTAGTCACATGCAGAGGAAGTCTGTCCCAGCCCAGAAGGAAACAGGAAGTTTACCTGCTGGCTGGACAAACATTCCTCCTCATGTGTAAACATGTTCACTCTAGGAATGTTGTACTTGACTGCTCTTGTGTTTCACATTCCACAGGCAGGGCATTCAGTTTGAGGAGGGGCTCCCCGAGATGTCGGGGCTCAGCAGTGTGGTGTAGTGGTTAAGAGTGGTGGACTCGTAATCTGGTGAACCGGGTTCGATTCCCCGCTCCTCCACATGCAGCTGCTGGGTGACCTTGGGCTGGTCACACTTCTCTGAAGTCTCTCAGCCCCACTCACCTCACAGAGTGCTTGTTGTGGGGGAGGAAGGGAAAGGAGATTGTTAGCCGCTTTGAGACTCCTTGGGGTAGTGATAAAGTGGGATATCAAAATCCAAACTCTTCAGCAAACGCTACCAGAGTGTCACTGTTTTTAGGTGGGATTCAGTCAAGTCCCAGGAAGTTCAGGCTGCACATTTCATGCTGATTTGGAGCTCTTGTGAAACAAACCCACTTCCCCCAAAGATTGGACTTTTTTTGCGATAAGGGAAGAGTGAGATGGCAACTGCTTGATGCAGATTTGTCTTATCAAGATGATTGCTCATTAGATAGCCAAGGTTGTCTAATCTCTCTGTAAACAAATTGGGCTGAATGCTCATTAAACAGGCTGCTTGGAAGTGACCCTAGTCATAATGAAATGAGTGCCTTTGATCCTATGCAGGGTAAGACAAGCAACTCTCATATCTGAGGACAAGAGAAAGGATTTCTAGCAGAGTGGATTGCACTATTTAGGTTAGTGCAATTGAAGTGGAGTGCTCCATTACCCCTGGGCAACAAATCCATTATAAAAACCAAAAACAAACCTGTAGCCTTTTTGCAGCTAGGAAAGTTTGGATTTGATAAGAAGAGTTTGGATTTGATATCCCGCCTTTCACTCCCCTTCAGGAGTCTCAAAGCGGCTAACAATCTCCTTTCCCTTCCTCCCCCACAACAAACACTCTGTGAGGTGAGTGGGGCTGAGAGACTTCAAAGAAGTGTGACTGGCCCAAGGTCACCCAGCAGCTGCATGTGGAGGAGCGGAGACATGAATCCGGTTCCCCAGATTACGTGACTACCACTCTTAACCACTATACCACACTGGCTCATGCCCTGAGAAGTGTGGGATGAAGATTAACAGGAGGACATTTATGTATGCAACAACTGCGGCCCATGTTTCGTTAGCCCAAAAATGGAAAATGAGCCACGTCCCAGCCAAAGAAGATTAGCAACTTAAGCTGACAGAATATGCACAACTTGCAGACTTAACACATAGAATAAGAGAACAAGAAGAACATACATTTAAAGAAGACTGGAAAACATTTATTGAATATGGGAAATCATTGTGTACAGCTGAAAACACTGGCAGCATTAAGATAAATTCAACAGTGTCAATAAGTTCCGATGGATGCAATAATGGAAAACTGATTGGTATAGTTTTCGTAAAATATGCAAGGAGTTAAGATAGTAAAATGAACTATGGAAAGAGAAGAAGGGAAGTCATTGAGATCTTAAGGATGTAAAATGAGTATTTGAAATGGTAAAACAGAAAATTTAAGAAAAATTATATTTAAAAATAGATTAACAGGAAGACTGCAAGGAAACCAGGATGAATGCTCATTGTCACATACTGTAAGCACCCTATAAGCAAATCAGAAGAAATATTCAATCAAGTATGGACTGTGGGCCTCTCAAGGCAGGTGTATCCTGCAACATGTCATTGGTAGTGATATATTTATAATAAATAAATTTATACTGCTTAATTAGTTCTCTAATTCCTCCCTAATGTTTCCACATTATGCATATCTAGGTGGGCTCTCTTGCACTATATAACACAGGAAAAGTGGATGACAAGAATCCCCAGAACATTTGTGGGATTTCAACAAGGAGCTATAGGTCATTCACTACTTGGTACTGAAGCAGTACATCTGTCCCAAAACCTCTGTGGGCACAAACAGCATTGGAAGTGGGATTGCATATACTGTAACTGCCCTGACATTTTAATGAATGCCCAGAAACAAGGATGTCTAGAGAGGCCCATAATCTAACTGCTGTGTAAGCGAATCAGGATGATTGCAGAATAAGCAGATTGACAGGAGGAGTCCTCAGAATTTCTGAGGCCAGTCACTGAGCCAGCCATTGGCAAATCATTACTTTGGCTTAGGTAACAATGTGAACTAGTCAAGAGACCTTCCTTGGGTCTGTTATTGTTCTGCTTCAGGATATTCTTCTGTCCAACTCAGCTCTGTGTCTCTCCACTAGAACAGCAGCCATTGTAGGGATAGCCAGGAGTTTCAGCTGAGGGATATTCCTGGATCTTTCCGTGAATATCCAACTTCCACTTTAAGCAGCCGTAAAGTACGAGGAAAAAACGATGGAGCAGTATCATACCGCATTGTCCAATAAGCGGCAAAAATGCCTGACTTTGGCATTGTGTGGGGGAAAACGCTGGCATCGCTGTCAAGCAGAAACTGATAATTTTATGAAATGGATTGTTATTTTATGAATATCATAGCTTCAGATGTCTTCGTCAGCCTGCGCTTTGGCTTTGCTTGTTCTGTAGCGATTCCCTACCCTATCCAGGTGTTCTGTGACGCCCCTTCATCACAAAATGTCTGCCCTCAGGTCTTCTCACAGCCAGCCAACTCCTTCTTTTCTCTCTGCAGCTCCTTCCCAGCTGAGCTCAGCGAGGTCTTCACCGCCTGGCAAGAGGCATGCCAGCTAAGGGGCAAAGCCAGCATCGGGCAGCGCCTCATCTCTGCCTCCTTATTCTTGCGCTTCCTTTGCCCGGCCATCATGTCGCCCAGCCTCTTCGGCCTCACTCAAGAGTATCCGGATGACACCACCTCCCGCACCCTCACTCTGGCAGCTAAGGTTATCCAGAACCTGGCAAACTTTACCACGTAGGTAACTGTGTCCCTGGCTGTGTCCAGGAAGGGCGATTCAGTTTGAATCTTGAGAATGGCTTGGAGCCAGTGTGGTGTGGTGATTAAGAGCGGTAGACTCGTAATCTGGTGAACCAGATTTGGTCAGCAGTTTTTAAAAGCAATCTGAAATGAGCACAAACAAGTAGATTGTTTAATCGTTCGATATAATAAGAAATTATTTATTCAGAAATATTACAGTGTACTCATGTCTTGTTTGGGCAGGGTTAACTCCTCGAAATACAATTGTCTTCTGCGTTTCCACTACAAACGCCCTCCCAGCAGATGTCAAGGCAATAAACAACTATTTTACTTTTAAAAGACAACTGTTTAGGGAAGTTTTTATTGTCTGATGCTGTATTGTTTTTATTATTCGGTTGGAAGCCGCCCAGAATGGCTGGGGAAACCCAGCCAGATGGGTGGGGTATAAATTATTATTATTATTATTATTATTATTATTATTATTCCATTTTCTGCAGGTTTGGAGAAAAGGAGGCGTACATGAGCTTCATGAATGAGTTTCTGGAGCGCAACTGGGGCACCATGAAGTCATTCCTCTGCAGCGTCTCCAGCCCTGGCAGTGCCATTCACTTGCCTGCTTATGACGACTCCATTGACCTGGCCCTGGAATTGTCCATCCTGCATTCCCTGCTCTGCAACATCTTTTCTACCCTGGAAGAGGTACCAGCTGCTTGTCTTGTGTGGCACCTCCACTTGGATGGGCTTGGCCTGCCCCCTGGCGGCAAGATGCATTGACTGGGCCTGCTCATGGGTAGTGGGGCCTAGGAGGAGCCAACAATTGGAGCAGAAGCCAACCCATCAGGGACTTTGCATCTGTCAATGCCTGTCATCCATGTTCCTCAGACCCTCTGTGTTTCCCCCTCCCTCCTGCAGCTCATTGGTGGCTTATACCAGCTATTTTACATAAAGGTGCCATCAGTTTGGCTAATACAGTGGTACCTTGGGTTACATACGCTTCAGGTTACATACGCTTCAGGTTACACACTCTGCTAACCCAGAAATAGTTCTTCAGGTTAAGAACTTTGCTTCAGGATAAGAACAGAAATCGGGCTCTGACGGCGCAGCAGCAGCAGGAGGCCCCATTACCTAAAGTGGTGCTTCAGGATAAGAACAATTTCAGGTTAAGTACGGACCTCCGGAACGAATTAAGTTAACTTAACCCGAGGTACCACTGTATTGTTATGGGCTGCTTACAGGCAGGTGTTTATTATGGGATTGGTGCTCCTCGTGCATGGAAGGTGTTTGTTAGTTTTTTTGCAGTAACTCCATGACATTCTTGGCACCGAAAGGTCAGCCCGCATTTTCTCACTGTCTAATCCAAAAAAACGATAAATAATAACCACAAGTCCCTGCTAGCTAGCTATCAGTTTGCAATATCTCAGTGACCCATTCACAAATTAAGTGTTAAATCTGGAAGAGAGGAACTCGGTGGCATTGCAGTCAGGAAAAAAAGGAAGTGATTTGGGGACACAGGGAGACACGAGAGAGGGAGCAGTTTTTGTGATGGGATGTGTGAAGGGGTATTTGTTTCTGAATTTTGAAATTCACAATTTATTCTTCAAATATATTTGCTCATTCAGGCAGGATTGGAAGGGTTAGGTGTGTGGAGGGAGGTTCACCCAAAGCAGGAGATACCGTTAAAATAAGATGTGTGTGTGTATATTTTAACAAATGCATAAACGTGACTTGTAGGGTCTGATCCAGGTGTGAGTGTGTTCCTCTGCTCCCCTTTGTCAGAGGGAGAGCAAATCCTTCGGTCAGTCGTGCCACGCCAGTAGCAGTGGTTTCTCATTTTTGCAAGACTGCATTCCTCTCACCTGTACTTTTTGCTCTGTTGCATATAAGCGGACAAAGGACAGATTGGAGCCTCTGCCCACAATCCTCCGTGCTATACAAGAGGGGACACCGGTTCCTGTCATCGTTCGACTTGGGCCCAGTGCAGAGGACAGGTAACAAACGACTCGCCTTTGGCTCTTGGGGTGGCTGACAGGGAGGGATACACTGAAATCGCAGTGATGGTTGCTGGCTCTCAAGGCTCAAGAAGAAAACCAGCTTTCAGGGAAATCCAGGGGATAGTTTTTGATCATGCTCGGGGTTGAAATGGCCACTACATTTAATAATAATAATAAATAATAATAACAACAACAACAACAACAACAACAACATTTTATTTATACTCCGCCCTCTCCGGCCAAGACCGGGCTCAGGGCAGCTAACACCAAATATAAAAACAATTGATTGAAATACAGCTTAAAAAACAAGATTAAAATACAACATGAAAACATTAAAATGCAGCCTCATTTCAGTGGAAACTCAGTCAAAAACTTTGGGGGGGGATAAAAATGTCAAGTCTTCACCAAGGCTAACTATCCAGACTGGTCCTACATGGGCCAGAAAAAAACCAGGGAAGTCCCCAAATCGGAGTTGCAACACAGAAGGAGAAAGGAAAAAAGAAAGAGGGGGGAGGGAATCAAATTCATTTGGTGCTGGAAAGGCATTTCCGCCAGATGGGATTGGCTTGTGTCCTGCTGTGGAGTTGCTTTCTTTGCGGTTTGGGTGTTGAGGGGTTGATAGGACGATGGTCAGTTCCCTCACTGCGAGAAGTGAAGTTACAGGGAACCAGGCAGAGGGCCTTCTCGGTAGTGGTGCCCGCCCTGTGGAACGCCCTCCCAGCAGATGTCAAGGAAATAAACAACTATCTGACTTTTAGAAGACATCTGAAGGCAGCACTGTTTAGGGAAGTTTTTAATGTTTGATGTTTTATCGTGTTTTTATTATTCTGTTGGGAGCCGCCCAGAGTGGCTGGGGAAACCCAGGCAGATGGGCGGGGTATAAATAATAAATTATTATTATTATGGTCCTACATCTTGGATAGAGATTAGGTGATTTCCTGGAATTTCCAGAAGCCCTAAGCCCTCACAGGGCCTCATTTACACCAGCCCCAATTCCTGGCACCCAAGTACCTCCTTGCCTGAAATGATTCTCCATGTTTTGCATGTTCAAATATCAGATTAAAATCAAAGAAACGTGAGTGCTTTATGCCATTTTTTAAAAAATGCATATATTTCAGTTTTGCTATTTTTACATGAAATAAGACCATCCCTGCTATGTGCCCCCCCCAGCCCTACTCACACACAGTACAAAAAAAAGGTAAAAGGTAAAGGACCCCTGGATGGTTAAGTCCAGTCAAAGGCAACTATGGGGTTGCCGGCGCTCATCTCGCTTTCAGGCTGAGGGAACCGGCGTTTGTCCACAGACAGCTTTCCAGGTCATGTGGCCGGCATGACTAAACTGCTTCTTGCGCAACGGGACACTGTGACAGAAGCTAGAGTGCACAGAAATGCTGTTTACCTTCCCGCCGCAGCGGTACCTATTTATCTACTTGCACTGATGTGCTTTCAAACTGCTAGGTTGCCAGGAGCAGGGACAGAGCAACGGGAGCTCATCCTGTCGCAGGGATTCGAACCGCTGACCTTCCAATCGGCAAGCCCAAGAGGCTCAGTGGTTTAGACCACATGTTCAGTGAAGAATGACAGCCAGGAGTCATCTCTCTCTCTCTCTCTCTCTCTCTCTCTCTCTCTCTCTCTCTCTCGGTTTGACAGGTTCAAGTGCTGCCTGTTGCATTATAGTCACGCTGCACTCTCACCCTTCCAGCCAGTGTGGTCTAGTGGTTAAGAGCGGTGGACTCGTAATCTGGTGAACCGGGTTCGTGTCTCCGCTCCTCCACATGCAGCTGCTGGGTGACCTTGGGCTAGTCACACTTCTCTGAAGTCTCTCAGCCCCACTCACCTCACAGAGTGTTTGTTGTAGGGGAGGAAGGGAAAGGAGATTGTTAGCCACTTTGGGACTCCTTCGGGTAGTGATAAAGCGGGATATCAAATCCAAACTCTTCTCCTCTTCTTGTTTTCCAGACAGGCGGAAAACCAGAAGCCGGGTTTTGTGCCCCCACGGGAGCTGGGCAAGCACAGTCCTCTGATCAAGAGCCAGTCCATGACCAGCATTCAGAAAGGCCGAGGCAAGGAAGAGCCGCTGGCCCCTTTGCACCCGGTCAGAACCAGGACCAAAGTGCAGCGCACCCAGAGCGTCCCGACTCAGAACAAGGCAGCCCGACGTCTCCAGAAGCAGAGGAGCACCGAGCACGTGGCCGAGAGCAGGGAGAGCAGCCCTCGACTTTGTACCTCCTACCCGCATGGCGGCATCAAAGCATCCCAGGTAATCAGGGCTCTAGACCGGCCCTCCTGACTACTGGTGGCCCCCAACTGCCCGCAGCTCAACACAAGTTCCCTGGAAAGGCGTAAAGAACCGGAATCTGTAAGGCCCACAGGGAGTGCAGAATAGGCACCATCATGGGGGGTCATTCACTGTCATAGAATCATAGGATCTTCGAGTCGGATGGGACCCCAGGGTCATCTAGTCTAACCCCCTGCAATGCAGGAATCTCAACTAAAGCGTCCATGACAGATGGATGTCATCTTTGGAGGAGTCATGTTTGGAGAGTGAATAGGGTCTGGGTGATGAAGGGTGGCCTTTCTTCTTGACACAGGACAGCACCCTTGACTTCCATGTCACTTCCCTAATTTGTTTACCCAGGAATCCCACTGCAATAGTTCAAATCCCAGGGTGAGCTCCCGTTGCTCTGTCCCAGCTCCTGCCCAACCTAGCAGTTCACACCAGTGCAAGTAGATAAATAGGTACCACTGCAGCAGGAAGGTAAACAGCGTTTTCATACGCTCTGGTTTCCGTCCCGGTGTTCTGTTGCGCCAGTAGCGGCTTAGTCCTGCTGGCCACAGACAGAAAGCTGTCTGTGGACAAACACTGACTCCCTCGGCCTGAAGCAAGATGAGCGCCACAACCCCATAGTCGCCTTGGACTGGACTTAACCATCCAGGGGTCCTTTACCTAGTAAAATATGCAGGTAAAATTAACTACGGAAAGAGAAGAAGGGAAGTCACTGGATATCTTAAATTTTGTAAAATGTTTATTTGAAATTGTAAAACAGAAAACTTAATAAAAATCATTGCACAGTAACAATAATGTTGATTGTGCTCTAGGGGTATCCGAAGCTCCACCCATCTGCATCGCTGCCCCGGAAGCCCACTGTGCCTTGGCTGAGGCACTCTGAAGAAGCATCTGCCCAACAAAGCAACCTCTATGCCATGCAGCCACTGGAACAGGTGGGAGAATCACTTCCAATCAAAATATTAGACCCAGACACCCCCACTCCTGAGTGCATGTGCTAGTAGCACTTTGCATTCTGGGACCAGAGCAGCAGTCCACTATTGATTTGAGTTAGTTGTGATTTCTCAAAAAAATGTTGTTCTGGGCAATGATGTTTGGCTAGTTTAGAGGGGGCTTCCACCCTATAGACTGGTGCACTGCCATGTCTAGAAAGGGATGAATTATGTCACCTGGAGGCAGTCTTTTGTTCCAGTACACTTCGCTACCTACGGTAGAGTCCCCTTCCGCCACAGAACGAAAACCATAACCCTGTTTCATGCTTGGCATCCCGTTTTGCAGACTTGAGAAAGAGAATGGGATAGTGGGAAGATTCAGGACATTCGGATGCTTCTGTAATGCTTAGACTTAGGAAGCAGGGCTGTTAATGTCATCCCTAGACTATAAAAGGTGATGGGGGAGGACTGGGAAAGCCTCCTAACAGGCTAATGGCACAGGCAAGATTTGAACCCAGGACTCATCTCTCAGGACTTATCCACACTTACATTTCCCCAGCTCTTTCCAGGCACGGTCCGTGCTTAAAAGGTCTTTGTCAGGGTGTGTGTGTTTTTGCCCTAGAGCTTTCTCCATGAAAACCCACTCTTTAAAGCTCAATCGGAGCAAACAGCCATCTGCAGAAAATCCACATTGACTTTTGCTACGATTGAGTGCTAAAGAGTAGGTTTTCACAGGCGAAACTCTGGGCAGAAAACAAAACAAAAACACCATGCTAGGACATAGAGCTTTTAAGTGTGGACCTCTGCCTGGAAAGGGTGGGGCAAAAGTTAGGTGTGAATAAGCCCAATGCCCTAGCGACAGGATACCTGCCTCTGGGACCCTTGCCATGGCTATGACCTTGCTTCTGCCCCATTGACCCTGTGCAAGGCCACCCGGGAGAGAGAGGTTTCACTGCTTCAAGCCCCTGGCTGCTCTAACTACTAGCCTTGTTTACCCCCACAGTATGGGAAGCAGATGGAAGAGCTACAGATGGAGCTGACCAGAGCGAGGGAGAAGCAGCAACTCTTCGAAGAGCAGCTGGAAAGACTGACGACCCAGAACCAAATGCTGCTAGAGGAGCAGGCCAAGTTCCAGGAGCGGGAAGAGGCTCTCTGCAAGAGGCTGGAGGAGACCGAGAGCTGCCTTGTGCAGCTAAGCACCAGGTGAGGGATCCCACGAGATCCTCGAAAGACCTGCATGGTCACCTTAGCTCTGGTGCCTTGGCTCCTGGAAGCTTTTCAGTCTGTCCCTGATTTGAGTGCCTTGTCATGAGGCACTGTCTTTTTTTATATATAAAAAAATTATTGATGTTTACAAATAATTTCCAAAAATCATATAACATGCTTTCTTATCTTATACAATGTTTTGAACTTCCATCAACTGCATCTGAAGATTTTCTTAATCTGCATTTCATTATTTTCAGTATTGCCGTATTTTTCGTCCCATAGGACGCACCGGCCCATAGGACGCACCTAGTTTGGGGGGGGAATAAAGGGGGGGAATTATTTCCCCCCCAGGCACGGGGCTGCAGCTGGGGAAGCCCGAGCTTCCCCCGACCCCAGCCCCCAGAACAGGCAGCTCTCCGCAAGCCTTGGGAGACCGGCACGACTTCCCGCCGGGCTCCCACGCCTTGCGGATATCTGCCTGAAGCCCAAACCAGGTCGGGGAACAGCGGGATGGCGGCGCTCCACCTCCCCGCTGTCCCCCAGCTTGTGGGGCTGGCGACAGGGAGAAGCGTGCTTCTGCCCGTCGCCAGCCTCCAGATCAGGTCGGGGGACAGCGGGAAGGCGCGCTGCGCCTCATAGGACGCACACACATTTCCCCTTCATTTTTGGAGGGGAAAAAGTGCGTCCTATAGGGCAAAAAATACGGTACATTTAATACTCCTTCACTAATAATTCTTATCATAGTTTTCTCTGCAATATTTCACATAGTCCTCCTTACAAAACTTCTTGCAATCCTACTAGCTTAATCTGTTGATTACAATTGCTTTTCAAATAATTCATATATTTACTCCAGTCCTCTGAGAATCTCTGATCCCACAGGTTTCGAATCCTTCCTGTCATCTTATCCAATTCTGCATAGTCCATTAATTTCGTCTGCCATTCTTCTTTCGTCGTTAGTTCTTCTTGTTTCCATTTCTGTGCCAATAATACTCTTGCTGCTGTTGCTGCATATAAAAACAGTTTATTTCCCTGTCTATTAATGTCCTCACTTCATGAGGCACTGTCTTGGCCCAAGTCCCCTGCTAGGAAGCAAGACGAAAAGGATGTTTTCTGGAGCCAGAACCAAGCTGACCAAGGGCAGCTGCCCTAAATTTTGGGAGTCCAGTAGGTAGTTGCTAGGACACAAACCACTTGTGCCAAGTGACTTGGTTGAAAGAAGGTCAGCTGATGAGTTAAATCCTGCTCAGGTCTGCAGGATTCCATGCAAACCACATCAGATCCACTGCTAAAATGAAGGTTTTTTCATCTGCTTTTGAACAAGGTTTAAAGAATGGGTTTTGCATTAGAATCCCCTGCCAAAATGAAGGGGTGGCGGAAATCTTCATTTTAGCAGCTCCTTATAAGGACGCAGGTGGCGCTGTGGGTTAAACCATAGAGCCTAGGACTTGCCGATCAGAAGGTCGGTGGTTCGAATCCCCACGACGGGGTGAGCTCCCGTTGCTCGGTCCCTGCTCCTGCCAACCTAGCAGTTTGAAAGCACGTCAAAGTGCAAGTAGATAAATAGGTACCGCTCCGGCAGGAAGGTAGACAGCGTTTCCATGCGCTGCTCTGGTTCGCCAGAAGCGGCTTAGTCATGCTGGCCACATGACCCGGAAGCCAATAAAGCGAGATGAGCGCCGCAACCCCAGAGTCGGTCACGACTGGACCTAACGGTCAGGGCTCCCTTTACCTTTATAAGGTTCTTTGAAGTTCCAAGTCCGATAAGGAAGTAGAGTAAAAAATGTTCCCCAGTGGTTTGGTGTATCCAGTGTGAGAAGAGTTTTGCATCTCTGTCCTTTGTAAGCCTTGTGAGGTCTTGTAGGCCTTGGGCTGAGAGACAGTGACTTGTCCAAAGCCAGCCAGTGTACCTATGGTAGGGACTGAGGAGGTTGAAACCAGGTCTCGCAGCTTGAGTTCGCTAGATTATACTGGATCCTCTTCTGTTGCAGGGTGACTAGTGTAGAGACCAGCTGGAAGAAGGATCACGAGAAGCTTCGAGCTAGTGAGGAGAAGACCAAGAATCTGGTAAGGGCTCTCTGTAGCCATTCAACCTGGTGGTGAAGGGGCAGGGGCAGGAGAAAATGGGGAGCCACTCAGGGGAATTGCTCAACAAAGGCTCAGGAACTAAACATCTTCCAAGATAATAATGCCCACTCACATCATAAAATGCTCATAACCCACCCTACTGTTGGCAGCCAGAAGTATCACACTGGAGAGACTTGTCAGGAATGAACATGGACCAATGGTATCAAATAGTGTGGGAAAACAGCCTTATTAGAAAAACTAACCAAAATATCCAATTCAGGTAAACTTCCATTCTCCTTTTTTAATTTAATTGAAAATTTAAATCGCTACGATGCTTAGAGAACAAAAAACCTCAGGGTAAAGGATATAACACATTGCCCTGAAGCACATAAATCGGGTGGAGGAATTGATGCAATTTGGGTATCTAAAAAATTGATGTTGAATCTTGATAAAGCGGAAATATTAAATAGATCTATATCAGATCACAATCCCGTAGCAATCTACATGAAATTCAAAAGACCTACCAAAGGTCGGTGGAGAATGAATGATGAGGTGTGGAGAGATGAACAAAGAGTAAGTAAAGTGAAAGAATTTTTTGAATTAAATGAGAACCAAGATACAGATAGGAAAATAATTTGGGATGCGAGTAAAGCCTTTATGAGAGGGTACGGAATACAGCAAATGGGGAGAATTAAGAAAAATAAGGGTAATAATATGATGGAAATAAATAAACAAATAAAAGAAAAAGAACTGGTAAAAAATCCGAAAAATGAAGAAATGCTTCAGAGTATAAAAAAATTTACAATTGCATTTATCAAATTTACTGAAACTGAAACGGGGACAAATAGAAGAAGATGCCTTCACCCTGGTATGGTTCTGCTTTATCACATACACAGCCCAACAAGACAATAACAAGAATCTGCCGACAGCATAGCAATCTGGCTAACCTGATCCAAACACACACACACACACACACACACACACACACCACTCACACACAAAAACAAGTCTCACTACAGCCAACCAAAGACAGCCAACCATACCCTAGGCCACCCCCAACCTCTCTCACCACCAAGGAAATACAACAAGCGAATAGTAAGAGAACCCACACAAGTGACGCTGACACAAAACCCCACAGAAGAAAAGAAGCATTCCCACCCCACCCCACTCACCATTCCCCCCTCTTTTCTTCCTGACCTAACACCGCATGCAACACTAATGTCTCACAACAAATGAAACTGATCTGTAGAAAACACAACTTGAAAAAAGAGACAGTGCATGTATTTTTGTAAACTAAGAAATATTTAATAATTTTTTTAAAAAAAAAGGCTAAGGAAGAGTAGAAGCATCCGTATCTCATTTAGGAGGCACACTCCAAAGAGATATTTCAGCACACAGGCCCATTTCATTGCAGTAAGATGTGAGTTGCTGGACCAGCAGCAAAATGCCTACCTGATTGTTTTACTGAAGATATGCTGAAGTTAGACAATTGATTCACTGGGGGTCCGATGACCCCCGCTTGCCCACTGCTTGATTTGTACAGTGAGAGCTGCTGGGGCTTAATAATAATAATAAATAATAACAAAATTTTATTTATACCTCGCCCTCCCAGGCCAGAGCCAGGCTCAGGGCAGCTAACACTAGTAAAATTACAAACAAACAAACAAACAAACAAACAAACCAATTTAAAATACAGGTTAAAATATAATTTAAAATGCAGCCTCAGTTTAACAGTAGCCCATAGATCAAAATCATAAGGGGGAGGGAAACATAAGGTTCAGACTGAGTCCAAACCAAAGGCCAGGTGCAACAGCTCTGTCTTGCAGGCCCTGCGGAAAGATGTCAAGTCCCGCAGGGCCCTAGTCTCTTGTGACAGAGCATTCCACCACGTCGGGGCCAGTACTGAAAAGGCCCTGGCCCTAGTTGAGACCAATCTAACCACCTTGCGACTTGGGACCTCCAAGGTGTTGTCATTTGTGGACCTTAAGGTCCTCTGCAGGGCATACCAGGAGAGGTGGTCCCGTAGGTATGTGAGTCCTAGGCCGCATAGGGCTTAAAGGTCAAAACCGGCACCTTAAACCTGACCCTGTACTCCACTGGGAGCCAGTGCAGCTGGTAAAGCACTGGATGAATGTGATCCCATGGCAAGGACCCCGTAAGGAGCCTCGCCGCAGCATTCTGCACCCGCTGGAGTTTCTGGGTCAGCTTCAAGGGCAGCTCCGCGTAGAGCAAGTTTCAATAATCAAGCCTGAAGGTGACCGTCGCATGGATCACCGTGGCCAGATCATGGCGCAAAAGATACACAAGCCAACTGTTTCTCCAATGTCTCCTTTGCAGGAGCGCCGCCTGTCTGGGATGGAGAGGGACCACGACCAGCTCCTCCGGGCCGTCGGTCAGATGCTGGGATATGCAGGAAAACCGTCCAATGCACAGCAGAAGCCCCTCTCAGGGCCAGTGTGGGTGGACAGGGCTGAGAATGGGGACGAGACCTAGCCCGCTTCCCTTCGCGTCCGAAAATGCAAAGCTGGCGCATCTCCATAGTGGAAACTCTCCTCTCCCAGGACAGCCCTGGAAGTCTCTCCAAGGTGGACCTTCCTGCACATCGCTCTGGTGGATCCTTCAGCTGGAGCCCACAGGGAGCTTTGCTACAACCTCCCGTGCCTTCCTCTTGGCTTAGTTTCCGGCGCTATGCAGCCATCGCCACCCTTTCATCCCCGCCTGAGACGGCATCCATTCCACAAGCCCCGGCTCTGCTTTCTGGCTGCAGCTTTCATCTGCAACAGCTGCTTTCCCTTCTCTTCTGAGATGAACCTCCTCCCATCCGATTTGCCCCCCAGTATTTTCATATCAGAAGGGATGCGGGTGGCGCTGTGGGTTAAACCACAGAGCCTAGAATTTGCCGATCAGGAGGTCGGCGGTTCGAATCCCCGCAACGGGGTGAGCTCCCATTTCTCGGTCCCTGCTCCTGTCAACCTAGCAGTTCAAAAGCACGTCAAAGTGCAAGTAGATAAATAGGTACTGCTCTGGCGGGAAGGTAAACGGTGTTTCCGTGCGCTGCTCTGGTTCGCTTAACCACTCCGGTTTTCTCCAGGGGGAAGTGGCCAGCAAAATGTGGATGATCCCAAATTGCTAGGGTTGCCATACGTCTGGAATTTGCCAGACATAGCCGGAATACTGCAGTTAGAAGCAGTATAATGTTTGGGTTGTAAATTGCTTTAAAAAGGTATTGGCCAAACTTTTGTGTCCGGATTTTCACTTTTTGAAATATAGCAACCCTACGAATTGCGAACCACCTTCTTCTTCTTGCGAATACAGTGGACTCTCTGGATACAAATGTAATTCGTTCCAGGGGTCCGTATGTACCCCGAAAAATCCACAAGTAGAGGTGCGGCTTCTGCACACGTGCACGGCATGATAGCGCGCTTCTGCGCATTCACACGCGACGAAAGACTACCCTTCTGGGTTTGCTGCGTTTGCAACCCGAAAGTTACGTTATGCAACGGTCATGTAACCCGAGGGTCCACTGTATAGCCCATCAAGCAATAAAGGCATAAAAGGGAAAGCACTTGTGTGTGGACAAAGATACACAATTGTACACACCGAAACAGCAGCCCAATGTATGCATGAATGCCCTAGTTTGGACACAGCATTAAAGAGTGAAGGGGGAAGAACTGCACCTCTCTGAGCGCACCGCTTGCCTCCCCACATCATTTTCTCTTAGCCAGGCTCACTTCCAGTGTCAGAATCTGGCCAGGTGGCCGGCTCATTCTCTTGGAAGACAAAGACTGGTGAGAGAAGTAAGCCACGAACAGAGAGAGGCTCCATACCTTTCACCCCTGCATCTCCTTTGCTGAGAATCAATAGTTTTTGTCTTTCTGCCAGGCTTGTTTCGGCATGCCTGTATAATCCAGCATCTGCCACTGAGCTATGCAATGTCTCAACTTTTCTTTTACCATGCAAATATAATTCTGGTTTGTCGGTCTTGAGATATATATGTTAAGAGCTTGCAGTTTTTCAGCAGGTATGAGGCTATGGGGTGGGGATGTGGGGTACAAATGGATAAACTGTGTGCAGAGGGCCATCAGGACTCCTGCCTCCTATCCATCAGAAGGTCTTAAATTATTTCTTTATAGGGATAGAGAGCTGGATTTTCTTGGGAGGGGGTGTTATTCACATTAACCCGTCAATACACTGAATCTCCCACAGGCCTTGGGGAATCTGCATAAATTGACTGAATTTTGTACATTCTTCAGCCAAGCTTTGCAGGTGCTTCAAGGGCCTCTGGAATGCACAGTTCTGGGCTGAGTCCTGGACATTGGCCGGGATCATCTGGAATCTTACTTTCTTGGAGTCCTTTCCCATTTTGGTGGCTCTTTTCAGATGGAGTTCAAAAACATCAGAGTCCACTTGATGTGGCAACCAGGTTGTTGTACGACTCCAAGTGGGTCTTGTGACTGGTGAGAGCATTTGTGCTGGTGTGCTTGGGACCAAACGTGTTTTCAGCTTGCTATGAAAACAATGATGCTGATGCTCCAGCTCAATTTCAAGAGACGAGATCCTGAGCTCAAGCACTGGGAACTCCCATCAACTCAGAACCATTCCTGGAGGGCCTGTGGGAATGTGGAGTTTTGTTGCTGTACTGTGTCAGGCTTCAGGGACTCGGCTTCCTACACTCCCCCTTGGCCGTAGATAAACAAAGCGAAAAGAGTCTCTCACCATTTAAAGAGTTTTTGATGATCACAGCAAAAGAACAAAGCATCCATTCTCGGAATGAAGGTGCTCCCAATTAAGGTTTCCACCCACTTCCCCCCTAGTCACTTCTGTGCCTTGCAACCTGATCTCACAACCACTGTGCTTTTTGTGTAGCCACCTTATCTGCTCTGTGTGACCTTGGACTGATAGGCTGGACACTTTCCAGCAAGAGAGAGACTCTGTTAGCTCTCTCTTTTCCAGTTCTTCTTCACTTTGCTGTTCACCCCCCAGTTCTTCCCAACGTTTGTCTTCAGAACTATGCCCCTCTGCAAACCACTGTTCTATATCTATACTGCTCCACTGCTCCTGGGCAGCTTCCAGGATCCTGGTCAGGGGGAGGGGGAGGGGGAGGCTCCCACCATTCCTCATTAGAGCCGTACTCCTCAGCCTGGTCTCTGACATATTGGAAACATATGTCTCTTGATTTCCAGGCACAGGTCTGAGCAGTTTTGCTTTTGTCATTCCACTTTCCCTGGGAAAACCCACTCTGCTGTTGAATCAGAACAAACGTACGTTGGGTTTCTCCAGAGATTGACATTTGTTCTGCTTTAGCAGCAAACGGCGGGTGGGACAAAAGAAAAACTTCCAAGACCTGTGCCTAAGAAATCGTGGGGCAAATGGAAGTAGGGATGAGCTGGAGAAACCTTCCCAGGATTTTCCAGGAGTTGGCATATTTGGGCATCAGCTGAGGCCCCACATCATTTTAGAGCAAGGCGAAGGATTGGTTTCGTTTGCTTTCAACCGCCTTGTTACATAGCCAAATCTGATTGGCTACATAGTGCCATGATATCATCACATTCACTACATATAATCCCTGCTTGTCTGGCATCAGCTGGGAAAAAAGAGAGCCAGGGCAGTGGGAAGGGGGTGATGGTGATGAAACAGGAGAAGGGGAATCTTGAGTTCAAAAGCTCAGCGAAAACTGAAAAAGTAAAGGTACTGTTTAGAGGAGGGGGGTCATAATCATAATTTATTATTTATACCCCACCCATCTGGCTGGGTTTCGCCACCCACTCTGGGTGGTTTCCTACTGAATATTAAAAACAATACAGCATCAGACATTAAAAACTTCCCTAAACAAACTTCAGTTGTCTTTTAAAAGTAAAATAGTTGTTTATTTCCTTGACATCTGGTGGGAGGGCGTTCCACAGGGCGGGCGCCACTACCAAGAAGGCCCTCTGCCTGGTTCTCTGTAACCTCCCTTCTCACAGGGAGGGAACCACCAGAAGGCCCTCGGTGCTGGACCTCAGTGTCCAGGTTGAACAATGGGGGTGGAGACGCTCCTTCAGGTATACTGTGCCGAGGCCATTTAGGGCTTTAAAGATCAGCACCAACACTTTGAATTGTCATTTTGTGGCCCCAAAGTCTGCTTTTCCTCCAAAAACATTCATAGGGATAAAATCAGTCCCTCTAGGGCAGTTTACATCCACTGTAGTCGCACCACTGGTTTGGGAAATGGTTTACACACAACAAAGTTAGTTGCAATCTGTATCAGTCCTGTATCTATTCAGGGATTTCGTAGGAGACGCTGAGTGTTGATGCATTTTCCAGAAACCCAGCTTTAATCTGAACAAAGGGGACGATGACAACCTAGCTGCATTTTAAGCCAGTCATGCGTCCAAAGTCAAGCAACCAAAACTATATGTTGCAAAAAGCACTTCTGGACACTAGGAGGTGCCCTGTTTCCAAAAATAAAAGTTTTCCTTTTGACATACTCGTTCAAAGAAAGAGATGCCTGCAACTTTCACCTCCAGGACAAGGCAAATATTGTGCCCCCTAACCGGTGGTTCCTGTCAAGGCCGGGTGGCGAGGGGGATGAGGAAGGGTCTTCCTGGCAGGAAGAGGGAAGCTGGGGAGGGAACAGCGCCAACCATTTATTTTTTTATTATTTATTTCACGAATTTTTTACACCGCTTGTAACCTCTCAAACTGGAATATTTTTCTTTTGAAATTTTGCAGGGCTCCTCTCTAATTTTGCACCCAGGGCAATAGCCCCTCTACACACCCACACACCCACACACACACACACACACACACACCACCGCTATGCCATTGGGCTCACCTACTGAATATGCCATCACACAGGTCAAAAACTCACCTCTAGGAAGAGGCAGTAGTGGAACCTCCATACCTGTGAGTGTTTTGCTTCTGTTCTGTTCTTCCTTCAGAAAAGAGAAGTGGGGAAAAGAGAGGTTTTACTTCAGGAGCTCTGTTCAAGGTCGGAGTCACCAGAGGTGGACTTCGGTCTTTCAAATTTCAGCGGTGCCCTGTGCAAGGCCAAAATTTGGCAACCCCCCCACCTCTCACCTGTTCTGCTCATTTCACTACATCATAGATCTGATGCCCTGCACCGCCCACTAGGCTCGGTGCCCAGTGCGGTCGCGTTGCCCTAAATGTGCCTCTGAAGTCATGGCATCAAAATGCCAGTTCCCAAGGTTTTGTCACACTCTGCTGATGTGACAAAAAAACAAAACCTGGGAGGGTGTGAATGATCTGCAGTCTGCTGAGAAAGGACTAAGCTTTGGAAAGAAGCAGAAGTCCCAGCAAAGGAAGAATGGATACAGAAACTTATGGAATATGCAGAAATTGCAAAACTTACCAGAAGAATAAGAAATCAAGATAACATTTATTTATTTTTAATGAAAGAATGGAAATGGTTTATTGAATATTTATAGAAAAATCATAAACAGATAAAAACATTGGCAGGATTATTGTAGCAACCTGCAGTTTCATATGAGTATATATTTAAAGAAGGTGAATAAAGGAGCAAATTAAGTTAATTTGGATATGCAGAATACTGTATATCAAAAATAAATTTAAGGAACCGCAGAAGAAGTTTTGAAATGTCAAAATGAATGTAAAATTGGTGAAATGTATAAAACTAGTGAAATGTATAAACGTGAAAAGAAAGAAAGAAAGAAAGAAAGAAAGAAAGAAAGAAAGAAAGAAAGAAAGAAAGAAGAGAAAGAAAATAAGAAAGAAACAATAAAGAGAGAGAGAGAGGACTAAACTTGCGTCACATCCCAGACAAAGGCAGTATGTCTTTTTATTTTCTCCAGTACACATGAATGTTTGGTGGTTTCTCTTAAAGAGAAGGAAAGTACTGATGCAATGTTGTGGTTGGGGCAAACCGGCTTGCTGCCCCTGACCGGAAGACGCACCATGCTCACCACCAGGGCTCTGACAGAA